ATGTGCCACTGACTTTCAGTTCTGCGGACCAACGGCAGAAAAGAATGCGGCGTTATTCAGAGGACTCTTTTCCAGGACTACTCATGTATGGTGCAGATTTGACAGGATCTCCTGTATAGGTCTGATTGCATTAGATTGTCTCCGACCATGTCCCTGTGAGCAGACGTCTGAGTCGCAGACACGCCCATGTAGACCGATTCTCGGTATGCGTGCACGGCATGCTGGCGCGGCCTCCCAGCAAAAGCCCAGCCCAAGCCAAAAAAAGAATGGTCCGAATAAAAACGATAAGTCTCAGCTGCAGCAGGTTCATAGGTGATTTAGGGTTTTGGGCTTAGGACTTTTACACGTATAAGTGCATATATACATACTTATGTATGTAGAAAAACCAAATTACTGAATGTGTGTACTAGCCTACCCCCCATGAGCCTTCAAGCAAACTGCAGAAACCGACTGGGAAGGCAGCGACTCAACGGGCCTGTTGCACCGGATTCCAGACAGCTCGGTGTCACCCCAGCCGAAGAAATACTCCTTAGGGCAATGTCGACCTAAACCCTATAAGCCCTAAACACTGGGATGCTCCCCCCCCTCTGCTAACAGTGCTTGATACGGATTATAATAGGTACTAGAATCCCGATTAAGGACTCTTAGTATAAGGGTGAACATCCCAACCCTAAGCCCTAAGCCCTAAGCCCTAAGCCCTAAGCCCTAAGCCCTAAGCCCTAAGCCCTAAGCCCTAAGCCCTAAGCCCTAAGCCCTAAGCCCTAAACAGGTAGTTTAGGGTGCAGGGTCTCAGGGGTGTTTTTTGCAGGCCCTCCAACCTCGCTCCAAGAAGGCTGCGAAGCCCAAGACAACCAGGCCCCCTGAACCCCAAAGACCCAAAACCCTGAACCCTAAACCCTAAACCCTCAACCTTAAATCCTAAACCCCAAAACCGAAACTCTGCTCTTAGGGTGTCGGGTTTAGAGTCTCTGGATTTCGGGACCCTTTTTGGTAACTTGTCGAACAGAATCGGCCCCCCGCCCCCCACCCCCCACCCACAAAAAAACAAAAAACGGACTCTCCAAAGAGCAGCCCAACTTGAAGACAGCCAGCCTGCTAAAACCCTCTGCGGCCCCAAGCCTTAGACCCCAAACCCTAAGCACTAAACCCAAACCCTTGGATTCAGGGTTAAGGGTTCAGGGTTTAGGGTTAGAAAACCCTAAACCAAAAACCCTGCGCCCTAAACCCTAAACCCCTCAACCCTCAACCGGTGCTTTCGAAGAGTCGGTACCCAGAACCTCAACACCTGCGTGGAAGAGACCAAGGCTTGCCTCAGTGACAGGGGTTTAGGAGGCTAGGGTTTAGGGTTTAGGGTTTAGGGTTTAGGGTTTAGGGTTTAGGGTTTAGGGTTTAGGGTTTAGGGTTTAGGGTTTAGGGTTTAGGGTTTAGGGTTTAGGGTTTAGGGTTTCGGGTTTCGGGTTTCGGGTTTCGGGTTTGGGGCGAGATGCTAACGACCTACAAAACTTGCAGGGTTGGGGCTGCACCCCCAAAATCAAGGTATGCATTTCTCAGTTGTCCAGTACCTAGGGGTTTTAAATGTTAACCTTTGGGAATATAAGGGGAATATATTAACCCAAAAAGGTTAAAGGTTACCTACTCTACTACTAAGATTTTCAAGATGGCATGCAGAAGGACATTGATTCTGGGGGGTTTGGAGGATCCCAGGAGGCCCCAACCCTGCAAGCCGCACGCGATGTCTTTTGGAGGTCTCCTTGAATCATTCATCCTAAACCCTAACCCTAAACCCTAAACCCTAAACCCCAAACTCTAAACTCTGAACCCTAAACTCAAACCCTAAACCCTCAACAGGGTTTAAGAGGCTTTACAAGCGTTGGAGTCTAGGGCTTGGGGTTCTATAACGGTAAGATCTGGTTTCGACCCGTCAGTCTGGTAGTAAGTAGGCCACAAGTTAGGATGTTCCTGCTAGTATAGGGGGGGGAACATCCCAAGCTATAAGTTCTAAGCGAAAGTCATAAGTTGCAAGCGTCTCAGAAGTGCCCCAGCACCTGAACCCTAAACCCTAAACCCCCAAACCAAAACCCAATCCTTTGTTAACGTGCGGGTCGGCATAGCATCGACTTCCAAGACGAAGAATGGTCTACTTCTCCAACAGCCAGGGGATGAACAGGGTTAAACCCTTCCTCCTGCAGACTGTGATGCCCAATGTTTCATAAACGACAACAAACACCAGCTTTACTTGGGTCTAGGTTGCCCAACAGCCCAAAGAATGTTTCAAATTCCTTGCTACACAAACATGTAACCCCTTAACTAATCCCTAAACTCCCTAACCCCCCTTCCCCACACCCACCCGCCATGTTGAAACTTCAACGATGTGCCAATTAAGACGAATACCTCTTGCCCTGCACGACCCATGAGGGGCCTCCAACCCGACGCTCACATGATCCCTACCTGAAGGGTTGATCAAAACAATGGACCCTTTTTGTAGGTTGGGTTTACGGTTTCAGGTCAGGGTTGAAGCTTAAGGTTCAACGAACCCATGAAAACCCCATGACTTGGGCCATGAAAACACCATGACTTGGATCTAAGCCGACGCCCCCCCCCCCCCCCCCCCACCAAGCATCCGAAACGGCCTACACCCGGAAACATCCTCAGACACGAAGTCGCGAAGTGTCTTCGAGTCCCCATGGACCCTGAATTTTTCGTGTCTGCCACCAAAGACACTACTTTAGGGTTTAGGGTTTAGAGTCTGATGTAGGGGTCGGAGCAATTACCAATCGTATTCCCTTGTGGTCCCCTTATAACTATTATACGACAATAGCCCCCGAAACCCTATTATGATTATCAAGGCCCCTATATTACTGCTTAGGGTTTAGGGGCCCTTATAGCCTTAGATCATTCATATCTACAAGGTGCAAGTTGTCGTGGTGTCCATGGAATTCAAAGCTGAAAGAAGCTGGGGGCCCTGGCATTTTTCAGGCCGTAGTCATTGAGATAGCCCGTCGTCTCGTTCAAGTCGTACACCTGGAGGCCGACCGGGGATGCTGAACGGTCGGTTCCTTTAAAGTAGGGTCCCAGTTTTTCGGTAACCCCCAATGGGCCCTTGTGGTTGGGGACCTCCAAGAAAGGACCATCATGCGCGGAGCTCACCGAAGTGCGTTTCGGATTTAGGGCTTAGGGCCATTTGAGTCAAGCATGATGTCCTGTAGAACACAGCATGCGTTAGGTCTGCAATGCTCCGTTGCGGCAGGGAGCGTGCAGCCAGAGGGGTATGCCCTCCACATCGTCGTCGGGCTCCTCTCACTTGACATGTTGTAGTAACCTCCCCAAACACCCCCAAAGGCCCAAAAGCCTCTGAAGCCCTAAGCAAGCCAGAATTGGGCAGAAGGAGGTGGCCGCTACCAGACGATCTCCTCCAGAGGGACATCCGACGGCTTTTTCAACTCCTGCGGTTCAGAATTCAGGGTTTTGAACGGGGATGCATTGGGATGTTCCCTCTTATACTAACAGCCCTAATGGGGATTGTAATCGGGGTACTATAATCCCTACTTCGGACTGTTGGTATAAGGGGGAACATCCCCAGGGACACAGTGTATGCTGGAGGGGGAAGCGAAAAGTTGTCAGGGATATCCAGCCGTAATGAATACTTGCTCGGACTTGCTGACGAGTAATACATAACACTAACATAAACCGTAGAAGAATAGGTAGTATAACTCCTAGGCTCTGCTGGTCCTGCGGCGCATTGGTTGCGCCAGCTTCTGCAGAGTTTCGAGCATCAAGCATCTGTGCTTGCTCCATGGCGTCTGCAGCTGGGTCGGTAGCTAGCTGCTCACCAGCTGGCATGCGGTTTCTGTTGGTATGTTATGTGGTCTAACTCTCTGTCGCTTGAAGAACTCTGTCTCTACGGTTACCCAAGAATAGCGACCTGGCTGTTGCTCTTTCTGTTGCCTCTGCAAAACAGAGTCGTCTTTCTCAGAATCGTGTGCAAATCAAGGGCTGCTGTGGCTGCCGAGTTCAGAGAACTGTGCTTCAGGGATGGCCTGGCCCCTAACCCTAAACCCTAAACCCTAAACCCTAAACCCTAAACCCTAAACCCTAAACCCTAAACCCTAAACCCTAAACCTGGTGACATCCCCTGACAAAGCACTGAACGAAGATGCCCTTTGGGCCTATTGAGGATGGTCTGACCCTGCGAAATCCTAAGCCCCAAGCTCACGGCCTACATAACATAGACCCCAAATGGTTTAGGGGTTAGGGGCTAGGGTTTAGGGTTTAGGGTTTAGGGTTTAGGGTTTAGGGTTTAGGGTTTAGGGTTTACCCTAAACTGAATTACCCGAAGCCCGCGCTACATGAGACCCTAATGTCGAATCCCTCAACTCAAGCCACAAACAAGCAATGTCAAAACCCACCAATTCCATCAAAACCTTGGATCTCTTGAACCCCAAAACCACCTGCGCCCCTTAAACCACTAAAACCTCTACAGGTCCGGAGTAACCCATGCCAAACACCACCATCAAACCCAAATCAACCCCAACCTGACCCCAAAAAAACACTGAAAGCCCTAAACACCCTGAACCCCGAACCCCCCTTCCCCCCTAAACTCCTCCTCCCCCCTTCCCTAAACCCTGAAACCATAAACAACACACACACACACACACTCACTCACTCACTCACTCACTCACACACACACACACCCTAAACCCTAAACCCTAAACCCTAAACCCTGAACCTTGGACCCTGAACCCTAAACCACACCTAGGCTGCCCAGTAACCAAGGCTTAAAAAGGGTGCCCTTTGTTTGCTTAAAGGGGTTTATAAGGGAACCTAAACCCCCCAAAAAAGGGAATAAGGGTACTACTGGGCATCCTAGACACTCACAATCTCTCTCACACACACACACACACGCCCTAAACCCTAAACCCTAAACCCTGAACCCTAAACCCTAAACGCTAAACCCTAAACCCTGAACCCTAAACCACACTCACAATCACACACAACCGCACCTCGGAGCGCCGCCGTCGCGAGCGACTGCGGCTGCGGCGGTGTCGTGACCGACGCCCGCTCCTGGCTGGAGCTGCGGCGTTGCCAGTGGTAACATGGGCATTTTCCCCAAAGAAGGGTTTAGGGTTTAGGGTTTAGGGTTTAGGGTCTAGGGTCTAGGGTCTAGGAGTTAGGGGGTTTGGGGGTTAGGGGATAGGGCAATATGCCCCAAAATGCTCTAATCCTTATTTGAGGAAGCCCACCAAAGGGGTGCCCCTATTCTCGGAAATGCCCAAAAAGCATAGACAATACGACCAAAAATGATAACAGTTCGTACGATGATAAGGATTAACAACAGGAGCAGTAGCTGCCATGTTCTTCAGCAATCACGATCATAACCACTTCGTATGACTAGTCATGAGCTTCATAAAATTTCTCAGCCGATGTTTTTTTGATGATTGAAGTTCTGACACAACTGAAGAAATTTAAGTACCAGCGGCAGGAACGGTAGCCATCATCATTGCGATGAGGACTCTTGCTGTTGATACCCAAAGGGTCCATGTACCCATATAGTATATACGTGGGCCCTAAAGCTACTATATGGGAACCCCTTTAAGGCCCAAGTATATACTATATAGGTACATGGACCCTTTGGGATAAAGTTGAGCCGGCTAGGACGAGTGCTTTTAGGCTTTCGGGGTTTGCAGCGTGCGGATTCGGAGTTGCGGGTGTTAAACCTTAAACCCTTAAACCCTTAAACCCTTAAACCCTTAAACCCTTAAACCCTTACACCCTTAAACCCTAAACCCTAAACCCTACGGGGGTTGCGGCCCAAAAGGCCCGATGGTGTCCAGCATGTCAGGCATGGAATGTCGTTTTGGGCATCAACAGTTTGAAGCGTGCCTGGGTTCCCGAGTAACCTAGGAAGCTCTTGTTTGGGGTGCGGGAACCCCCCCCCCCCCCCCCGAATCCCCACGGCATTGATGGATGGGATTGCTGGGGACCCTAAGTCTTTGAACTGCACCGTGCACCCTAAGCCCAGTTCGTCTCGTCTGCTGGGTGGCAATACGGTTCCAGTATGAGGGGTTACTGAACCCTAAACCCTAAACCCTGAACCCTAAACCCTAAAAACCCTGAACCCTAAACCCTAAACCCTAACCCTAACCCTAAAGCCTAAGCCCCTGTAAGGGGGTGCAGCTGCAAGTCTTCCAAGGAGTTAAGGGGAAGGTGCGCCGCTTAGGATTTTCGGCTTGCCTCCCAGAATACGGGAGAAGCCCTACACTAGGGCTATGATTTGCTTAGGACCCCTCACCCCTCCCCCCCCCCCCCAATTTATTTGACAAAAAGTCTTCCTTATAAGGGTAATGTAGGGGTTATTACTTTTTTTTCTAATTCTTGGGGATTCTGAAGCAAAAAGTAGTAGGGCTGCCATGCTGGTTCCCTACCGAATCGCAGGCTCAATTAAAAAGCGGAGCCCTAGACAACTCCGTATATACATGGGCCACTTTTAAGCCTTAGTATGAGGAGTCTTTGCTGTAGTTCCATGTCAGGTGCCCCCTCTTCTCCAAAAACGCTGTGTTTAAGGCTCTGCACCCTAAACCCTAAACCCTAAACCCTAAACCCTAAACCCTAAACCCTAAACCCTAAACCCTGAACCCTGAACCCTGAACCCTGAACCCTGAACCCTGAACCCTGAACCCTGAACCCTGAACCCTGAACCCTAACCAAGCCCTGTGCCCCAACACAAACAACAACTCGTAAATATCCTGCTATCCTCCCGAAAAATACCCTAAACCCACCCCTAAATACGCAAAACCCATGAACACCCTAAACCCTAAACCCTAAACCCCAAACCCTAAACCCTAAACCCATGAAGGCCCCCAACCCTAAACTCCAGAAGAAAATATGTCGGCTCTTGGCCCCATGTGGGTCACTCCCGCCTGCGCCGTCGCTTGCTCGCGCTTCTTCTGTGTTCCTACAGAGCCGTGCGGTGGGGCTTAGGGTTTAGGGTTTAGGGTTTAGGGTTATTCAGGGTTTAGGGCCTTAGGCCTTAGGCCTTAGGCCTGAGGCCTGAGGCCTGAGGCCTGAGGCCTTAGGGCTTAGGGCTTAGGGCTTAGGGCTTAGGGCTTAGGGTTGCCTTTTCAAGTTGCAAGCTTTACTTGCAGCCAGCAGGCCTACTTCCCTGTCCTCCCTATAAAGCTTCAAGTGGGGATCATGAGGGATTGCCGGTCCTTTCTTCTCCTAGTCTTGGCCTTCTGTGCAGAAGAGGATTCCTCCGAGGAATCCTTTCTGCGGTTCGTCCGCCTCTTCTTTCGTGCCCGCTTCTCCTCGCTCTCCGAATCGGACTTCTTGCGTGCAACGGGCGACTCCTCCGCGCTGCTGTCAGATTCCTGGGCCATTGCGGGGACTGTAGTATGAAGATGAAGACTACTGCTCCTTGTGGCGTCCCAAGTATGCACCAGCAACAAAGAACAAACCCTAAACCCTAAGCCCTAAGCCCTAAACCCTAAACCCCAAACCCCAAACCCTAAACCCTAAACCCCAAGCCCTTGTGTTGAACGATGATCCGTGTCCTTCTTCTGCTTCTCCTCGCTGTTGGACTCCTCCTCCTCGGGGGCCTCCTCGGCTCGCTTCTCTGAACTGTCGGAATCCTCCTTTGCCTCCTCCTTTTCCTCCTTGGCATCACTGTCCTCAGTTGTCCAGTAACCTGGGGGAACTTTGGGATTATCAGGGGATGATATTACCCCAAAAAAGGTTAAAGGTCACCTTCTCTTTTACTAGGAGTCTGAGTCGTCATCCTTGGCCTCTTTCTCCTCGGCCTTCTCGTCGCTGTCTGAGTCGTCCTTCTTCGCCTCCTTCTCCTCCGCTTTCTCATCGCTGTCTGAGTCGTCTGCTTTCGCCTCGGCTTCTCCCTCCTTGTCGTCGCTGTCAGAATCTGCTTTGGCTTCAGCCTCCTCCTTCTCGTCGCTGTCGGAATCTGCTTTGGCTTCTGCCTCCTCCTTCTCGTCACTGTCAGAATCCGCCTTGGCTTCAGCCTCCTCCTTCTCGTCGCTGTCAGAATCCGCCTTAGCTTCTGCCTCCTCCTTCTCCTCGCTGTCAGAGTCTGCCTTAGCTTCCACTTCCGCCTCCTCCTCTTCGGCGTCCTCTTCCTTGGCGGGCTCCTCTTGGGACTCTGCGTCCGCGGCCTCCGCTGGCTTAAGCCCTAAACCCTAACCGCCTGCTAGGGGAACCCTAAGCCCTAAGCCCGAAGCCCCAAGCCCTAAGCCCCAAGCCCGAAGCCCTAAGCCCTAAGCCCTAAACCCTAACCGCCTTCTTCTTCTCATTCTCACTGTCTGAGGCCAGATTCGGCTGCTCCTCCTCCTCCTGGCCATCATCCTCCTTGGCCGCTGGTGGGAAGAACTTACGCAGGCAGCTTCTGCCTTACCTGTAGGGTTTTAGGGTTCAGGGTTCAGGGCTTAGGGTTTAGGGGGCTAGACAGGGTAGATCCGCGAGCCTCCCAAACCTTACAGCAAGCATAAGGAAGCCCCGGGTTAGGGATCAGGGCTAGAGTGGGTGAATCGACCGTATGAGGGGTGTGCTGAGGAAGCACCCCTTATTTCGGAAACCCCCATATGACAAAAAACTGAAAAGACTATAGAAACCCCAAAACCACCCTAAGCGCTAAACCCCTAAACCCTAAACCCTAAACCCCTAAACCCCTAAACCTCTAAACACCTAAACCTCTAACCCCCTAAACCCTAAACCCCAAACCACACACCAAGACTCGGAATCACCGGCTTCGGCTTTCTCATCCGGCTTTTCGCTAGGAGAGCGGTCCTTGACTCCAGGTAATTACGCAAAAATAGGGTGTTTACATAGTTTAACTATAGGGTTTAGGGTTCAATTAGGGATTTACTCCAAGAAAACAGGGTGATTACAGGGTTTCACTATAGGGTTTAGAGGGTTCAAATATAGGGTTTTACAGCAATTTACGGGTGACCTTTCAAGGTCAGTGTGAGAGCTTATAAGGCTCCCACAAAAATCCGTCTACGATACTCGTCCCAAGAGCGACCTAGGGATGGCAAAAAGGGTTTAGGGTTTAGGGTTTAGGGTTTAGGGTTTAGGGTTTAGAGTTTGAAGGGGGCTGATTAGTGAACCTCAACCCGAAACAAAGGGGAAGAAGGGCCTACTTTCGGGCCTCAAAAACTTTGGAATAGGGTTTTCCGGGGCTTATTGTAGTATAAGTATACAGGGACCATAAGGGAATACTATTGGTAACTATTCCGACCCTTATATTCGTCTGGGTCCTAGAATGGGGGGGGGGGGGGGGGTGGTGGTGGGTTTGCGGTTGTGGATTTGCAGGTTGCATCCAAGCCTCAACCCCTAAAATTCCAAAGCTCGGCCCTGGCCTTAGCAGCCTGAACCCTGAACCCTAAACCCCACATAAACCCCAAACCCCAAAACCTAAACCCTAAACCCCAAACCCTAAACCCTAAACCCCAAACCCTAAACCCTAAACCCCGCCTTCTTCTTGCGGCCTCCCTTGGCTCCTGCAGCAGCGCAGGACTGCGCACAGGCACTCGAAGGAAGCAAAACATGTGCTCATCCCCAGATCGCTCTGCCACCTTAAACTGAGGGGTTTAGGGATTAGGGTTTAGGGTTTAGGGTTTAGGGCTAGGGTTTAGGGTTTCGGGTTTAGGGCTAGGGTTTAGGGTGAATCGGATGGGTTCTTTGGGCAGTGCGGCTTCTGCCGGAACCCTATAAAATCGTCATGCATCCCTATGCCCCAACTCGAAACCCTAGACCCTAAACCCTAAAGGCCCTATAGGGTTTAGGGATTAGGGATTAGGGTTTAGGGTTTAGGGTTTGGGGTTTAGGGTTAAAGGCTCTCAAACATGCCTGCTTTGTCTTTGTCACCGGCGACCGGCACGGGCGTCTCCTCCTGTCCATGCTTCTGTGCTTGTGGCAAGCTGAACCGGCGGGGGGGGGGGGTTAAGGTTTAGCACCCTAAACCCTAAACCTAAACTCAATCCCTATTTTTTCGGGTTGGTTACTTCATTTCAGGGAACCTTCAACCACAAAAGGGACAAGGGCATCACTGAGCTACCAAGTTAGGGTAGGCTTGCTGAGCCAGCACCGGTTGAGTGTAAGTCAGCTTGTTGACATATCGCTTGCAACACACCCTGACATGGGAACTCAGAATCTAAAGCTTAAACCCTAAACCCTAAACCCTAAAACCTAAACCCTAAACCCTAAACCCTAAACCCTAAACCCTAAACCCTAAACCCTAAACCCTAAACCCTAAACCCTAAACCCTAAACCCTCCTCCTCCCCAAGAACCCTGGAGCAAGGCACCTCCGCTGCGTCAGTTCCCCGCTTCTTGGCCGATTTGGCCTCCTTCCCCTTGGCAGGGTTTGGGTTTCTTTCTCATCTTGTTGCAGTTAAGGGTTAAGGCTTTAGGGTTTAGGGCTGAGGGCTTAGGGTTTTGGATTTAGGATTTAGGGCACAAACGAGGACCCAAAATTTAGAACCGCCAAACCCTCACCCACAACCACTCCGGCAGCCCTGAAATGTGTGCCACGCCTTTGCCTGCTCGGCCTCCTTTTTCTTGGCCTCCTGCCAGGGACTGCTTAAGAGTTGACAGTTTAGAGAAGTTTGGAAAAGCTTCAACCCTAAACCCTAAACCCTAACCCCTGAACCCCTAAACCCCTACACCCCTAAACCCTAAACCCTAGAACCCTAGAGGCCCTAGAACCCCTAGAACCCCTAGAACCCCTAGAGCCCCTAGAACCCCTAAACCCCTCAACCCCTCAACCCCTCAGCCCCTCAAGCCCTCAACCCTAACCCTAGACCCTAAACCCTACATCCTAAACCCTAAACCCTAAACCCTAAACCCTAATAGACCCTAAACCCGAAACCCGAAACCTTAGCCCTAAACCCTAAACCCCTAGAACCCCTAGAATGAACCCCTAGAACCCCCGGAAGCGCCGCCTTAGAAAATTTAGCAAAGCTTCAACCCTAAACCCGCAACCCCTAAACTCCCAAACCCCTAAACCCAAAACCCCTAAACCCTAAAGCCCTAAAGCCATAAACCCTAAACCCCGAAAGCCCTAACCCTGAACCCCTCAACCCCTCAACCCTAAACCCCTCAACCCCTCAACCCTAAACCCCTCAACCCCTCAACCCCTCAACCCAAACCCCTAAACCCCTAAACCCCTCAACCCCTCAACCCCTCAACCCCTCAACCCCTCAACCCCTCAACCCCGCAACCCCTCAACCCTAAACCCTAAACCCCTAGACACTAGACCCTAGACCCTAAACCCTAAACCCTAAACCCTAGCCCTAAACCCTAAACCCCTAAGTGGCATGGACCTTTGTGTATTATTTGGCTTCTGCTCTTGGTTGAGCATCAATCTGCATATATTTTTATATGCCCGTTATCGTAGTTGAAGACCAAGGGCCTTGTAAATCGGGCTTAAAGCATGCACTTTTCGCACTTGCTGCTTTGCCACGCTCAGGATGCTGGAGTCATGCCTGGGCCGCAGCAAGCTACTCAAGCTAAACGTCAAGGCTAGCCAGCCACCATGTCTATAAATGCAGACGGTAATTAGCACGTCATACACAACAGTTGCAAAGATCCGGGCAGAACTGAGCAATGAGGCTGCCAGTCGCAGCCTCAAACACGTTGGATTTTTGAAAGGAAAAAGCGGGCAGAGAGGGGCAAGGTGAGAAAGACGGAGTCTGATGGCTTTCAAAAAAAACCGTTGTTTTATTCACAAGATCTTGTCACTGCAGCACTGAGCACCAACCTCCGTCAATTTTCTTGCGTCGCTTCTGCTCCTGACAGAGGCGACCAGTTAGATTTTGTTTTTTTTGCCACGCGCTTTTTGAGTTAAGCTGAGCATGTGGCGCGGCGGTCTGCATGGCTTCGGACCTAACTCATAGTCACGCGATTACGTATACTCCTGTATACTCTTTTGCTGCGGCTGTCGAGCTCGGCTCCGAGCTAGAGCAGTCGCGACCTGCTAGCTGCCAGAGGTATGTTTTTCGCTGCTAGTCGTACTGTTTGCCCTTCACTCAGTGACGCACCCATCTAGGCAAGCCAGCATGCTCGCAGCGCTTCGCGGCCTTGGCTGTTTGCGTCCGCTGGCGCGCTAGCTGGGCTAGATTTTTTACGGTCTTGGAAGATCATGCGGTTTGCTAAGTGGTTAGGGCGGCTTAACACATCTAGCGTAAGCTTACTAAGTGGACTTATAAGTGAATTATAAACCATTTAAGTCGACATACTGAGTCAGCTAACTCGTGCAAGTCACACAGCTGAATTAACTTTCCCGAAAGTATATGGGACATTATGTCAGCTGCATGACTTGCGCGAGGTTAGCTGAGTCGACTTACATGGCTGATAAGTCACTTATCAGTCCACGTAGTAGGCTTACGTTAAGTCTGCTAAGCCACCTAACCACATAGCAACCCACGCGATCATGCCGGGACGTGCACGCGGCGCTGGAGCGGCGACGCCTTGAGACAATGCCGATGATTGTGTTTGGGCACAGTGTATTTTTCAATTGCAGCGTGCTCATTTGACATACACTGAGGATCTGACGGCCTTTGCTTGTGGAACTTCAGGCGATGCCTGAAGTCACATAAGTTGTACGAGGGCGCGCTTTTCTTGAGAGAGAGTAGGCTTCTGAGACCGACGCGGACTCAGTGAAAGAAGAAAGTGGCTCGGCAGGAGCCTAATGCTGATTCTATTTCGGACTTGCTGGTGGAAGTGTTTCACTACACTGAGGGCTCCACAGGCTGCGCGTTGGGACTTTCAGGATGTACCTGAAGCCGGTGAAAATGCATGTTCGTTGGAGAGGTGAGCTTCGCGTCAGGCGCTGAGCTCTTTGCTTTCGGAACTTCAGGCGATGCCTGAAGTCAGATAAGTTGTGCGGGGGTGCGTTTTTCTTGGGAGAGAGTAGGCTTCTGAGACCGACGCGGACTCAGTCAAAGAGGAAAGTGGCTCGGCGGGAGCCTAATGCTGATTCTATTTCGGACTTGCTGGTGGCGGTGTTTCACTACACTGAGGGCTCCACAGGCTGCGCATTGGGACTTTCAGGATGTACCTGAAGCCGGTGAAAATGCATGTTCGTTGGAGAGGTGAGCTTCGCGTCAGGCGCTGAGCTCTTTGCTTTCGGAACTTCAGGCGATGCCTGAAGTCAGATAAGTTGTGCGGGGGTGCGTTTTTCTTGGGAGAGAGTAGGCTTCTGAGACCGACGCGGACTCAGTCAAAGAGGAAAGTGGCTCGGCGGGAGCCTAATGCTGATTCTATTTCGGACTTGCTGGTGGCGGTGTTTCACTACACTGAGGGCTCCACAGGCTGCGCGTTGTAACTTTCAGGATGTACCTGAAGCCGGTGAAAATGCATGTTCGTTGGAGAGGTGAGCTTCGCGTCAGGCGCTGAGCTCTTTGCTTTCGGAACTTCAGGCGATGCCTGAAGTCAGATAAGTTGCGCGGGGATGCGTTTTTCTTGGGAGAGAGTAGGCTTCTGAGACCGACGCGGACTCAGTCAAAGAAGAAAGTGGCTCGGCAGGAGCCTAATGCTGATTCTGTTTCGGACTTGCTGGTGGCGGTGTTTCGCTACACTGAGGGCTCCACAGGCGGCGCCTTCGGACTTTCAGGAGGTACCTGAAGCCGGTGAAAATGCATGTTCTTGGGAGAGGTGGGCTTCGCGTGCTGAGCTTCGGAAACAGCCACTGAGGCGGCCACCCACCACGGCGGTGGGCCAGGTGGTTGGACTGGACCCTTTGCCTGGTTCGCGGAGGCTTAGGCTAGATTTTTTTGCGGTCTTGGAAGATCACGCGGTTTGCTAAGTGGTCAGGGCGGCTTAACACATCTGGCGTAAGCTTACTAAGTGGACTTATAAGTCACTTATCAGTCCACGTAGTAGGCTTACGTTCACAGCAACCCGCGCGATCATGCCAGGACGCACACGCGGCGCTCCAGCAGCGATGCCTTGAGACAAGGCCGATGATTGTGTTTGGGCACAGTGTATTTTTCAATTGCAGCATGCTCATTTGACATACACTGATGAGGATCTCACGGCCTTTGCTTTCGGAACTTCAGACGATGCCTGAAGTCAGAGAAGTTGTGTGGTGGTGCGTTTTTCTTGAGAGAGTAGGCTTCTGAGACCGAAGCGGACTCATTTAAAGAAGAAAGTGGCTCGGCAGGAGCCTAATGCTGATTCTTTTTCGGACTTGCTGGTGGCGGTGTTTCGCTACACTGAGGGCTCCACAGGCTGCGCCTTCGTACTTTCAAGAGGTACCTCAAGCCGGTGAAAATGCATGTTCGTCGAAGAGGTGAGCTTCGCGTCAGGCGCTGAGCTTCGGAAACAGCCACTGAGGCGGCCACCCTCCGTGGCAGTGGGCCAGGCTGGACTGGACACTTTGCCTGGTTCGCGGAGGCTTAGGCTAGATTTTTTTGCGGTCTTGGAAGATCACGCGGTTTGCTAAGTGGTCAGGGCGGCTGAACACATCAGGCGTAAGTTTACTAAGTGGACATATGAGTCACTTATCAGTCCACGTAGTAGGCTTACGTTAAGTCTGCTAAGCCACCTAACCACATAGCAACCCACGCGATCATGCCGGGACGTGCGCGCGGCGCTGGAGCGGCGACGCCTTGAGACAATGCCGATGATTGTGTTTGGGCACAGTGTATTTTTCAATTGCAGCGTGCTCATTTGACATACACTGAGGATCTGACGGCCTTTGCTTGTGGAACTTCAGGCGATGCCTGAAGTCACATAAGTTGTACGAGGGCGCGCTTTTCTTGAGAGAGAGAGTAGGCTTCTGAGACCGACGCGGACTCAGTGAAAGAAGAAAGTGGCTCGGCAGGAGCCTAATGCTGATTCTATTTCGGACTTGCTGGTGGCGATGTTTCGCTACACTGAGGGCTCCACAGGCGGCGCCTTCGGACTTTCAGGAGGTACCTGAAGCCGGTGAAAATGCATGTTCTTGGGAGAGGTGGGCTTCGCGTCAGGCGCTGAGCTTCGGAAACAGGAAACAGCCACTGAGGCGGCCACCCACCCTGGAGGTGGGCCAGGTTGGACTGGACCCTTTGCCTGGTAAGCGGAGGCTTACCAATATCAAACCTTTTCTTTCGACCGTGCAGGCGGCACAAGCAAAAGCAGGCGTTGCATCAGCTGCTTAGGCAGCCACTACACAAGTGGGGGGCCAACGCCTGGGCAGAAGTCTGACATTCTTGTTGGGCTACGTTTTGACGACCACCCTCTGAGAGCTTCACAGCAGTCTTGGTTTCGGGAACTTCAGGACGTACCTAAGGCCGGCAAACTGCATTGTCGCTGGAGAGACAAACGTCACGTCAGCCGGCGGTGTTTCACAACCTTTTGAAGCGTCGTGTCAGCTCTTGAGGTGGCCACGCGCCAAGGAGGTGTTGATGACGCCTTTGCAGGGAAACAAAGCTGCTTTTATATTTACATAAGTTTTCTGTGCAATCAGTCTCTGAGAACTTCACAGGCGTTGTCGAGGCTTCGGGCTGTACCTGAAGCAGGCCAAGGTGCAATCGTTTGTGATGAAGCGTCGTGCTGGACGCTGAGGCGACCACGCGCCAAGGGG